TGGCAGTCCTCCAAGCCATGCCTTTGGGCACATTGTGATAGGTTCAACTGTGTCAGATGGTTTATAGTGCGGGAAAACGTGCAATTTTCTCTCACATTGACTGCTGTTAACTTGCAAGACAAAGTCAGCACCACGGGGGATTTTCGCCTTCTCCTTACGACTGATGAGTATGAAGCCACATCTACACCTACCTCACACGACATATTTCTGGGCCTTTTTGTTTCTCTGTCGCGAGTCCCATTATTTGCTGATGTGTTAACGGTCAGTAGGTATCAAAATACGGTAGCTGAAGCATCTTTAACGACCCAGGGCGTCGTTATGCTTCCTTTTAAGTCAATATGGCTCAAGGTCTTACCCGCAAGACAGCGAAAACAAGCAAAATTATTTACTTATGGTTCATGGTCGCAACGTGCTACTGGTCTCATCGGGTCTTTGCGTCCTTTTATAAGGTAGTCAGCGCACCCAAACCCAGACCTCCGTTCACCCGGGAGCCTCCTTATTTTCTTTTTGATCGTCGTTGAAGGTAGTTTTACTGTCTGCAACGTTTGGACGTGCAGGATAGCTAACCCATATATCGTCTACCCAGGACGGCAACTTTAAGATGACTGGGTTGCCAGTCCAATCGAAGGTTGTATGTCTTTGTGCGGGAAGTTATGACATCAGCCTTGTGGTTTTTGTGCTGCAGTGGCTTTTCGAAAACCAGCTCTCTTAACATATTTAATCTTCTGAGCTTTTTAATGACCGCCAGATGTATTCACAATACCCAAAATCAGCCCAAAGTATAATTGTCCAGCAAATGACGCCTACCAGTGTCTCACCCTATGCAACGTCCAAATTGTAACTGCAACCTAAAGGTGATGTCAAGCATCGGTTCGAGTAGAACATTGGGAGTTTGTGTTTCCCTGTCGCTCGGCCTATAAAGAGCGGATATCTTTGTCTCATCCGGGTTCCTATAAGTCTGCATCGAAATGCCACAACTGTGGCGCTTTTAGTGACCTAAAGCTTTATAGTGCCTGCAGTTAGGGTCTAAATATGCAAAAAATCAGTTTGTTTTCTGCGTGGATTACCATAACTTTCTAATTTAATTAGTAAAGAAGCTGGAATATCTAAAAGCAGTAGTTTCAGTCTTTAATTTGTGCTTCCTCTTTCAATTATCGTTGTAGAACACCGACCTTTTGTTTGCGAAATCTGCGGCAAAGACTTTTCAAGAAAAACCCAATACAATGACCACATTAAAATTGTCCACAATGGTGCGTACTTTCTTCTCTGAAGTTTTCTCGTTCCATTTTTATTTCGAAGGTTACGACCTCAGCCTAATTGTCTTTGTCTTGCATTTTTTCGACCATCATTTC